GAGGGCGGGGGAGGGGAGGTTTCATCCTCACCTTGTTTGGTTTGATTAAAAAGGAGGGGAGGGGAGGTTATTTAATGATCCCTTGTTTGGTTCAAGGAGGGGAGGGGAGAGATAGTAATAATCAATTTACCATTTTACCTTTACATATTAGTTTATGTTTTTTATTGATATATTATATAAATTAATTTACATCTTAATTTAAATCATATAATTTAATAAAAATTCAGTCTTATCATGTTAATATGTGTATTAAAAAAATTGGTACAGTAATTTTTATTCTAATTAATATAATAATATATTTAAAATAATCAAATTAATAAATTTTATATGCTCTAAGAAAAATGAAATTTTATTCTCTTTAGGCTATCTTTTTTTCCAACTTTAAAATATATTTAATAAATAATATATTTATAAAAAACAATTAATTTTATAATATTATAATTTTTTATTTAAATAATTTTTATTTTTAAATAATGTTTTATAATATATTTTTAATTATAATAATGTATTTATTTTTTATTTTTTTACTTAGAATAATATATTTTTTATTTGAAATAAATATTATAATAATATATTTTATGGGTAGAAGTGGAATATTGAAAAAACTATAAGGGCATAATGGTCCAAAAATTTGGCTCCCCTCCAAAAACCCCCAATTTGAAGGGGAGCCAAAATGAGGGGAGGGAGGGGAGGGAAGGGGACATTTTAGTTCCCCTCCCCTCCAAAATTTTTAACCAAATGAGGGGAGGGGCTCATTTTCCCTCCCCTCCCCTCCCCTCCAACCAAACACACCATTAAGGAAGAAGCATACGATGATGTGGAATGATGGGAACAGTGTGGCATGGGGCCACTTGGCAGTCAAAGAAGGGGTGATTGTTTTTGGTGTCACGTGTGTGTCAGACATGATTAACGAAAATGTTGTAACTTTTGCCTTATGATCACCAGTACGATTATGACCTCTCTTTGGATATTTTTTCCATTCAAATTTGAAACAAATTTCATTTCATTATGGATATTGCTACGTTTTACCAATTTTTAGAAGGACATTGCCAAAAAAAAAATTCCTGAAATCCATCGCTTCTCAACAAAAATTTTCATGATAAAATTGAATCTTAATCCATTATAAATAAAAAAGATTGAACTAATACTCTTTGTGATTCAAAATACTTCTCCGGTCCTTAATATAAAACTCATTTAACTAATTTAATTAGATTAAGGAAGTTAGGTAAGTTAGTTAATTATAAGAAAAATGACATATTTTTTCTAAAACACCATAATCACCTTTCTTAATACCTCATCTCCCTCTTCTATTTGATTATGGTTGATAGAGTATCCATAGGGGTAATTTGGAAAAAATTGATAAATATGAGAAATGGGTCTTATATTTAGGACAAAAACTAACTCAAGAATTAGGTCCTATATTAAGGACCGGAGGAGTATAAATTAAACTTTATCCATTCATGTTTATTAATAAATTAGTTAAAATCAATTTAAAACAATAAATATATAAAGCATGTATTTTTCTCTCCAAATATGTCCTTATTAATAAAGAAAATAAGTAAAAGATGTAATAAATGAATCTAAGAGGAAAGAGAATATTTAGAGATAAAATTAGAAAAAAGTTCATTAAATAGTTAGATAAAAGTAATGTTATCTTATAAAAAAAAAACCAAATTCCTTCAACAAAATTTAACTTATATTTTGAAATAGAGGGAGTATTATCTATGAATAAAAAAACTAGGAATTTAGAATAAGAACCTCACAATATATTGAACTAATTACATCTAGTGTTCAACAATACTTCGAATTGCTTTGTATAAAAAAGAAATGCATGTGCATATTAAAAAAATTATTGGAAAACAGAATTGAAAATTAATGATTATAAGGTTATCTTTAACAAATTAAAATGTCAATTTTTATTCATCAATAAACGAATATCACTTATAAATTAATTATTATAAAATTATAAAAAAAAAAATATAAGCATCATAATTATTGAAGTCATGAAACTATTCGTATTCTTTTATAAATAGAGAGATCTCATTTACAAATTAGTAGAAAAAGAATTGTATATATAATTTTTTCCCCCTTAAATAGATGAATCTCACTTAAAAATTTAGTGGTTGAAAAGTTATAAAAATAAAATAATTTTGAAAAAAATTGGAAACTAATGAACAAAAGGATTAAATTATTAAAAAGATATTTGATCCTTATTTTAGTGTTTTGAAATATTTCGGTCTTATCATTGAATTAATCAGTATTTCAGTCTCCAAATATCATTCACTAAAAAATAAAATAATGTTCAGCATCGAAAAATGATAAATAATAAAACTTGGTTTCTTAATGCAAATTCACCAATTCAAAATGATGCGGTGAAATCAGGAGACAACAAAAGATCCCAGCCTGCGTTTAACATCGTAAATTTCAACTCGTAATGATAAAATAATCATGCCGACAATACTTAATTCAATTCACTTGATAAGTAATTGACTCATGAGGAATTTGAATTTTATTGCCCATACAATGACATTATTAATCAGCCTCGAAGGCATATTTTGATATTAATGAACCTTTAACATCGAGCTCACCTAAACTTTTTCTGATTAAAAAAAGAAAGTTAACGTCTTTAAATATCTCAAAAGTATCTACAATAGAGCATTCAATATTTGAAAGTTTTTTAGTTCTTTTTATGTGCTGAAAGTTTATTTTTTTAGCAAATATACATGACTATTATCCATTATTAAATTTAATCATTAAATTATGTGGTTTCACCTCGTGTCTTTTAACATTTAAACTTAGAGAGTGTTTGGTAATCTTTAAAAATGTTTTTCCGTAAAACAAGACAAACTCTTCCACATATTTACTTCGTAAATCATAAAAACATTTTTAAAATCATAGTTTGGTTTCTATCCAAATACCTCCTTAACGATAAATAACGGTTTAAGACAGAAATTGTATGAAACAACTTTTTAAGTATGTTAGAGCAAAAAAATCTTTTGAGTATACTTTCATGATATTTAATGGCTTTAATCCTAAAAAAATGATATAATAATCCTAATCCCAATATTAATAACAACAACAACAATTATCACACTTTTGATGAAAATAATAATAATAAAGTGTAGATGTCATCGAATCTTAAATGATTCTAATTTACGCATTCAGACATTTTATCTAGTAAACACGCGCGGTCCACGGCTTAACAAAATCCTTGTCTTTGTCCATTATTTACGTTTCTTTAGATTACTCTCTATTATGTTAAAAAAATTATTCTAGTATTTAATGTTATACTTATAGACTAATCTAAATTCAAATTACATCAAATCTTTTTAAATACAAAACTCTCTCTCCTTCGCCCCCCTCTCTGTGTTTTTTTAATGATAACAATAAAAAAAATATTATGTATCATTTTATTTTTGTAAATAAATTTGATTTTTTTATAAAAAAGTTATAAAAAATAAAAATTACAAATTTAGCTTAAGAACCTCTCTTATTGTGGTTCTTTTGCCCAACCCAAATTCTACGTACATTGTAGTTTATCGTTGACATGTTTCTAATAATCTAACTGATAACTCCGCATTTATATATAATCTCAGACACAATAATATTAAATTCATTATTGAAGTGAAAAAACATTTTCCTCTTTAAAATGATTTATATATAATGTTTGTAATCAAGTTTGAAATGGTGGCAACAAAAAACAAGTTTGATTATTTAAAATTTTATCTAAATATATTTTGTATTAACTCTCCTAAACTTTTATTTTTGCATTCATATAAGCCCTCAAAGATGGAATTATATGCAGATAAATTTCTTAAATTTTAAGCCAGTCGCAAATAAATAATAATAGAATGGGTGTTATTTGTATAAACGTAAAAGTTCAATGAGATTTATTGTAAAATTTTAAACATTAAAAAAGTTATCTACGTTTAACGTAAAGTTCATAAAACTTTTATATAATTTAACTATATTTGAAATCTTTAACATTAAAAAATTAATATTCATCACATTTCATTTGAAATTTTGAATGAAAACCAACAATTTAAAACTTAAATAATTCATAACTATTTGTCATCATCTTCAACTACTCCTACCACAACTATAAAGCGAAATCCAACCTTAAGATTCTTTTCATACATTGATGTTACTCAAATTTAGCTCTTTTAGTATGACAATATTATTATCTTAATTAATCCCTTGTATCAACATCATCAAATACTCACATTTGAATATATCACTATTTGAATAATAAAAATGAACATTCTTTTGTTTTTTTTTCCCTGCTTTTGGATTCTTTCATAATTAAAAAAGTTTTTTTTTTTTGCAATTATATAATCCAAAGTTAATCGAGTAAATCAAAATTAAAAGCCAATGTTTTAGGCGGATTAGTTGGTAATTAGCCAATCATTATCCTCCAAGTTTCATTAGTCAAAATGTTCCATTTGAAATGGACTTATAACTACTATAGGTTACTCTATCTATTCCCTAACATGCACACTTAATAACATTTTCTATTTGTTTTCTTTTGTTTTTTTTTTAATTTTTTTTGAATGCGACTCTTCAATTACTTAAATCAAATAAATATCAGTCCAAAAATATCAAATAAATAATATACTTTATATAGTCTATTCTCTCTTAATGCATAAATATATGAATATCAATTATCCTAGCCTAATTTTTTATTTTGATAAAAAGAAATGGTTTGGTGCATTTGAAGACCAATAAATGTGAAAAGAAAAAAGTATAATAATTGGATGAATAATGATAAAATGTGAACTCGATATGAAGAGACTTTTTTTTTACATGAAAAAGAGACATTTTTATGTATTTATTTTATGTTAATGTATAATTAAAATTAACATTATATCTTAGGCAGCACATCAATTTTGCGGGAAAATTGTCGGTGATGTTACATTGTTGTGAGAAAATTGAGCTTGGATTTCTACTTAACACTCGTGAATTTCGCCGCCATGCGTTTCTCATATTCCGCTCTGAAAAGCTTTCTGGGTCTCCTAATTCTGCTGAAAGGTCAGATTTTTTTCTGCTTAGAAGTTTAGGGTCCCTCTGCTTTTCGCCAAAAAACACAAAAAGGAAACAAAAAATGAAAAAGAGATAAAAGAGAAAGGTTTCTTGAGTGTTCTTGAATTGTTCTCTTTCTTTTCACATTTCTGTTCAAAAGTGAGGAATTGAGGGATTGGGAGAGTGAGGGGTATCAGAAGAAGCTGAAGCCATGGGAGTAGATTTGAAGCAAGTGGTGGCTGCTGTACTCACCCTCGCCATGTTCGTGATGCTTGCAAATATGATCAAGAGAGATCATTTTGACGCTGAAGTAAGATTGTCTCACTCATTTTCATCTTCCATTGCACAAATTTCTTTCAGCTTACCTTCCTTTACTGTTTCTCTTTCGTCTGGCTTTCAATGTTGTTATCTTTACCTCCTTCCTTCTCTCTCTCGCGAACTCAGATATAGATGTGTTTTGATTTCACTAGCTGGATTCAACTAATTGAGCTACTCGTTCGGCTTCATTTTGTTCCCCACCTTAGATTTGGTGTTATCTGGTTAAATTTAGTATGTAACAATGTCAAATTATGCATTATTTCATGTTTGAAATGGAGACCAAGTGATTCAGATGGGTTCGTATGCTTCAAAATTACGATGAAACAAACAGCTGTCAAGTAGTCTTCTGAATTGCGGAGATGAGAATGCAGGAAAACTAAAGGGGCATTGAAGGGTGAAACCCATTATGTGCACATAGAGAAAGTAGCTCGTAGAGATGATAGATCCTTTAGTTTACTGACTAGGAGACAATTATTGAATATTGAGCGGGATATTTTATGTTTAACAAAACAATGGTAAGTATTCATGCCAGCAATGCTAAAAACTCTACTCGGATACCAGCCATTTACTTGTTTGAATTTTGATAACTTATTATGAATCTCGCAATATTACATGAAGTCAGCAAATCCTGAAGCTTCAACATAAGAAGTTAAGGCTTAGTGTAGCACACTTTCAGTTTGTTGCTAAGATTGGAAGTTGCGGCAGTGTTCCTGCTCATAGAAAAGGATCACTAAACTCTAAGGTTCAGTTTGGCTTGTGAAATAGGACTCCTATTCTGTCACTGTATTGTAATATCTATATTTAGTGTCAGATGTAGAAGGAAAGTCGCGAGGAGTCAAAATTTTTTTTACAGAGGATTGTGAGGGGGGGGGGGGGTAGATGTAAGAACATAAGGTTCACTTTTCATCCTGAAAATTATTTTTATTCTATTGTCCATTCTCTATGGCATCTACCAAATGAGCCCTAATAGCATAATTAAGAATCTGGACGGATTTAGTAAACTTAATTTATGCGGCTCGTACTTTCTCTATTGAATTATCTTTGAAACTTAAATCTATAATTAATTTCATTCGATCACATTGTCCGTCTCTCCCCCCATCCTGTCTCTCAAAAAATTTAAAATAAATAAATAAAGAAGTTTATTTTAATATTTTCAAGTTCTTTTCTCTGCATTTTTATGTCACAACTTTTTCAAGTATACAAAATGATTCATGAAAAGCTACAAGAAAACAGAATTTCACTAATACTCGTTTGTATTAACTTCTACATATCCTTCCTCTATATTTGTGTGTGGGAGGCTGCCGGTTCAAACTCGGATTTGAGAGGTGAGAGAAAAGAACTTTCACCACCAAGCCACAAGTTCGCTAGGCCTCTATTTATACTAATAGGGTTATGAAGTTCATTCCCTAGATACTATTTCCCTATTTACTCTTAATTACTTCTAATCCTTAATCCCATATAACACAGACAGATAATGATCATTAAGTTACAGTTACGATTAATCTACTTCACTGTCCTTGTTTTACCTTTTGCTTTACAAGGACGCACTTCCAGGAGCAGAGGGTGCTAACTTTGTGAGCGCAAAGCTTGATAACTACTTAAGAAAGAGGGCAGCACCGTGGAAAGGAGAAGCGGACAAGCTAAAACCATGCTGGCTAAAGCCTTATGCAGGTAAGATTTGATTTTATGGCTTCCAATGAGTAAGAGGCATATTAAACATATTAAAATCAATTGCATATGCTCAATCAGTTTTTCCTTATTAATTCACATTTTTCTTATCTGGCAGATGATGTGGAACAGACCAAGGGGTTTGTTATCTTTTCATTGACTAATGGCCCTGAATACCACATTTCTCAGGTATCCGATTCAGCCATTCTGGCCAACTTGATGCGAAATGCTTCTGTATGAGCTGCATTTATGTTCTATTTTTGAAACCTCGGCAAAATTAACCGAAGTCTCCTTTTCTCACCCAGAAATTTTAAAATAAAAATCTCAAGCTTTCTTCTAATGAATTCTGGTCTCCCCATTAAGTGTAATTTTTGCTATGTATATTACTGATTGTATTATAGTCTAATTGCTCAACCAAGTTATCTTTTCATGAATCGGTGGATAAAGTTCAAGTGGTTATTTCATTCGCCTCTTGACTCATATATTATCTAATATGTTCACATGGAGGAGGATAAAGTGGAAGGGAAGCAAAGTGAAAAATCTCCTTTTTGTCATTTTATTTGATTTGGTTTTGAATAAGAATTTTTTCTTTACTTCTTGTTCATTGTCCTTTATCCCAGCGTGCTCAGTCCAAAAACTTTTTTGTTACAAACACCATCTCTCCCAAAAAAAATAAAATAAAATAAGATAAAATAAATTCCCTTTACTCTCTAATTTTCTAGTGGTATTCAGATTGCAGACGCAGTGGTTGTTGCTAGATATCTTGGGGCGAAGCTTGTGCTCCCTGACATTAGAGGAACCCAACCTGGTGACAAGAGGTTTGTGATAAACTTCCTACTGAAAGGGATTTTTTGTTTTTGAAAGAAAAATTCTTCACCTTATTTAATTCTCTATCTATAATAGTTCTCTTTAAAATGTAATACCACTGCTTGGTTTCCAAATAGCTCATTAAACCATTAGGTGTGAGCTATTTGTGCTGATTATGCTGACAAGATTTTACTTTTGAACTCTTAGTTTCTTTTCCCGGTCTCTATATGCAGGTCTATTGGAACTTATTTTTCATCTTCACCCATACTAATTTATGTTTGGCTTCTTTATTCTACTTTTAGTTAGGACAAGTGCTTGTTACTAACTAATGTTATTGATATGTACAGGAACTTTGAGGAAATTTATGACGTTGACGCATTCATGAAAAGCATGGAAGGAGTTGTGAGAGTGGTAAAGGATCTTCCTGATTACATATCTTCGCAGAATATTGCTGCTGTGAAGGTCCCTAATCGCGTCACAGAAGACTACATAGCTGCCCGTGTTGAGCCAATTTACAGATCCAAAGGGAATATCAGACTTGCAACTAACTTCCCTTCAATAAACATGCGAAAGGGAGGCAAAAAAGGCGATAGTGATTCTGTTGCATGCTTAGCGATGTTTGGAAGTTTGGAGTTGCGACCAGAAATACATGAATTGATTGAGTCAATGGTTGAAAGACTAAGAACCTTGAGCCAGAATTCAGATGGTCGGTTTATAGCCGTGGACTTGAGGGTTGACATGTTGGATGGGAAGGGTTGTGAAGGAAGTGACAATAAACAAGAGAAAAGCTGTTTCAATGCACAAGAAATTGGAGTATTTTTAAGGAAGATTGGTTTTGACAAGGATACCACAGTATATGTGACTGGGTCAAGGTGGGATAGCAGCCTAGATTCTCTGAAAAATCTGTTCCCTAAAACTCAAACAAAGGTGAGTCCTTTTTTTTCTGCCTGTTTCATCTCTCTCACACACACATGTACACACGCACAAGTGCGCACACATTTTTGTCTAAACCATATCCATTGGAGCAGTCAAAGGGAGATTCTGAAATCTTTTGAGGATTTTTAAATGTAGGATGACATTATGCCCGAAGAGAAGAGGTCAAAGTACTTGGATTCTGAAGGTTATGAATTTGAGAAAGTGATTGACTTTTACATTAGTACTAAGAGCGATGTTTTTGTTCCAGCAGTCCCAGGTCTGTTCTATGCTAATGTGGCTGGAAGGAGAATTGGTTCTGGCAAAACCCAGATATTTCTTCCAGCAGTCATTTCAGATTTTTCGTTTTCTGCAACCGACTTCATCTCCCCTTATGTCTACAAGAAAAACCACTTCGCATACTCTTGTTACTGTTAAAATGTCAAAAAAAAAAAAAGGTGTTGGAAAGTGTTCTGAAGCCTCAAATATGGTTTTGCCTATTCAAGTTTGTGAGAGTTCACAGTAAAAGGATGTGAAGGGGGGAAGGAAGGGTTCATTCGAAAGAAGTAACTGGTATTTGGTATGTACACAGGAATTTCCGTCCATCATATGCAGTTTGTAAAAGTATTGTTGCCTCGTATGATTATTCACAGTTGGTGAAACTGGTGAGATGCATTTTTTGTTAGTTGGTATGGTGTTTGCACATGTCATCTTTATTACTCTCTTGTGGTCAAAGATGTTTTATTAATTGCAAAACATGGAGGAACCATTAGAAAGAGTTCATATCATTTACCAAATATTCAAAAGAAACTATTCCAATTCTAGCTGCGTTTAGGGCCAATTTTAGTTTTGATATATGATACTTCTTCTTGTTCCAAAGGTAAGAGTTGGATAACTAATTTATAGAAAATTAGTTAAATCAGTTATTTGTAAATAATATGTATCGGTTTTCTTAAAATATCTCGTTCCATTATTTGTATGAAAATTATCCCCAATAATAAAAATCATAGTTAGTATTGTGCAACCAATAGGATAGTTTGGAGAAGAATTATAAATTTGAGGTACAAATTATATTTTAGGGTCAAAGTAAATCCTTCTACATTTAGGACGGGAGGGAGTAAAATATATAACAATTTATGCTATCTATAGGCTGTTAATAGTTAAACTTATTCTTTAGATTCTGGGCGATAAACAGGAAAATGTGTTTAGTTATATCTAAAATGGATCAATAGATCCAGCTTATGCCGTACCATGAATTTGGAGCTTCCCATCCCTATTAAATCATATTCATTTTATCCAAGACGAGGCCATGAGTACTCTTGTGATGAAATCTTGCAGTTTATGTCCTTTGGTGGCCGCTAGTTCTTGCTGCCACCATTGCAAATAGTTATTGTTACCCAAAATTAAAGAGAATTGAATCATTGAACGATTGAAGGTAACTAGGAGTGGTGGAGGTTGGTGAAGTGTTGTTAGCTTTAATTGACGGATAGAATGGAGCTCTCATACCATAAAAACGAAAGGTGAAAGTGACAAAAAGATGGTAAATGGAGACTCTGATCTTTTGTAGCTCTAAACTATCTTGCAGGAGGAAGCCGGATACTGTGTGCGTGAAGAGAAGGCGTTTTTTTTTTTTTTTTGGGGGGGGGGTTGTTGTTACAGAGACTTCGAACTTGAAAATTGATGTGTGTGTGTGTGTGTTCCTTAGAATAAAAAGTTACATTACACAAGCTTCCTTCTACTTTTAAGATTTCGTTTGGCCATTGAATTATTATTTAACTCCAAAATATCCCATGTCATTACAAACGCTAATTCCAAGTTGTGAAATTCTAGTTATATTAGCTTAGTGGGGGGAAAATGGCGAGTTTATGCCAAACAGAAGTCATACAATGAAACAGACATTTTACTATTTGTGTATTTTTATTATTTCCAAGAGTCAATGCTAAAAAGCAGTTTAGTAGTCTAATGTTTATATAAACATTAGATTTAATCAAGAGATTTATATATATAATTTACGAGAACTTGGTGCTAAAAGAGTAAAGCTAAAAGACCCAGTCAAGGAAAAACAAAAGGTACTAAATTAAAAATTGGGAAAAAATATAAATACATTAATAAGGCAAAGTATTTATAATTGTTATTGCAGTTAATTTCAGACTCCACGCAACAAAGGATCTAAAAATTGAGAAATTGAAATGGACTCTTTAACCTAGAAAATAAACGGGAAAAAATGAAGGTAAACACACCACACATTATATTTCTTTCGCTAGGAACATGTATCTTTTTATTCAAAGCAATTTTATTTAAGACACTGTTAGAGACAAAATATGAACACCTTTTTAATGAAAATTTAAGTATTGATTCATGATTAAAAGTCAAATTGGTATATGCCTCAATGAAGAGGCATGAAAATGAGCCATGTTCGTCAAGCCAGTTTATGCAGACTCGAAAAGTTATTACGACTGGTTTTGAAAATCATGGAACTCTTCTGCAATCAATTAGGCTTAAAAAGACTAACCCTAATGGGCCTAGCAAGATCACAATTCTTGTTAGTGCTAGTAGTATGAAGCTACCAGTGATGGGAGTGGAGGTGATTTGTATAAATTCTCGATGAATTTTGATTGCAATTTTATGAATTTAGTCATAAATTTTGAATTAGATATTTATTTATTAAGCGATTTTTAAAAAACAGTATATGCTCTATGACCTAAAGTTAAACCGATATACATATAATATCAAATTATTAAATGACTAAAAAACAAATTTAAACAGCCTAATTTTATGACGAGTTAAATCATATGCAGACATTTCAAGGTATAAACAGTCATGAATCATTTTCTCCATATATTAAGTTTTATTAAAAAGTTGGCAAAAGACTTTTATTTAAAAAATAATGATTAAAAAAAGGCAATATGGAAACAAAATTAAAACAAATGCATATGTAGAAAAGTAATAGCTTATTAAAAAAGTAATAATATGTCATTAAAATATTCAACTTGTGATGCTAAAATTATAAGGTTATATATTTGGAATAAATATGCTCATATAAATAATGCATAAGCTGATCCAAACAATCACAAGTCCACTTCAATCTTCCGTGTCATTCGGCTTTGTCCCTTCGATCTCATCATTGCTTGTTTTCGCTTTTTATTCTCAGCTTCTTCTTCCATCTTTGATCTCCTTTTAACTTCTTCAATCTGCTTGATTTTTTTATATTATCTATTTTCATATTTGCTCTTCCTTTCTTCCCCTTCATTTACTGCCACTTGCTGGTTTTATTTCTGGACGAGATCTACCCGTCCGATTCCCCACTACCTACTTGCTCTGGTTCCCAGTTTTATTTTGATTCCCAAAAACCCAATTTTAAATACCCAAGCTGCTTCGACTACCTAAACGATCTGATGTTGTGAGACGGCCCATTGTCTTCAAAGGTCGTCCGCCCGGTCCAGTCCGAGCCTCAAAACACTGGCTCATATAGGCTTGGGGCCGAGCTTCTAAAATGGTGTTCTTCAGACTTACCCTTTTGGGTCCCAACGCTTCAAGGGCCAGCCCTAATTACCAGGGCTAGCTTCAACTTAATCAGACCATCTCCTAACACTATCTTGATTAGATATTGAATATACAGTATTCTACAAAGGAAAGAGTGAGGCAAGTAGAGTACTAATAACTTAGTATGGCTGGCGATCTCTGGGAGAACCTAGGCTATTTGAACACTTGTAACAACGCACGAGGCTTCCAGCACCGCCTCCATGGCTTCAAAAAGTACCGTGACACTGGTGTTTTTGAAACTGGAATTAATTTTCCCACTACAGCTAGAGGCCAGCTGCAATCAGCCCAGAAAGAGAAAAAGTGGTCAGGATTCAAAACTGAAAGCTGCTATATGGTGTTAAGACTATATGAGAAGGCTAACCTGAACAGCCCTATAGCAAGAGAAATAAGCCACATCTTCCAATTAAGCCTTACAGTTGATGTGAACTTGCCAAGGAACTCAATGATGAGTATCTGACGAATAGGAATAGAGTTAGCAGTGCTTGCAAACGTAAATTATATAAATGAAATGAGACATGAAGTGCCAACTCACCTGAAGTACAAAGGTAATTGCAACAATTCCCATGAAGAGGCGGTTTTTAGTCACTCCCCGGAAGACATTCATTTCGTCTGGTTTCCGAGCGTTGAACTCATTGAATATCTATATGTTGAATCATTACAAAATTGTGTAAGTAGAACTGGATGAATAAGACAAAGGGAAACAAGTTCTTTTAGGTTTATACTCTCAATCTTTCTCATATAATGAGGTAGAGGTTGCTGAAGCACGAGTCAGGTAATCGATACACTTTATTAAGTGATATGGCGTGTGGTGCATACAAAGCAACTGTAAGTTACACCGACATTTTTGTAACACCATAGTCCCTCAAATCTAATGACCTACTGCATTCTCACGTATAATCAATTCAAATATGCTGCTCATGAAATTAAAGAGCACGGTAAAAATTCCGTTATAAAATTGGGCATCTCATGGAAGATACCAGAGTAAATTATGGCACTTAAGTAGGGAACTAGTCCGGTAATAATTAACTATGATGATCGGTGAAAATGAAACCCCAGGCCAAAGGACAGCAAACATGCCAAAACAAAAAGAAAAATTCCGACAATATATATATGGACTGGTTCAATATTCTTATTTACATATAAAATTCACTTACTTGGCAGAGGACAAATGCATTGAATATCAAAGTATTCTTCAGTTGACGCGTACGAGCCCTAGAGTTATGCATTTGTAGAATTTGATCGCCGCCGAAGTTCAGAACAAGCAGAACCGTAACTTGATAAAGAGCCTTTAATGACATATCAATGAATTAGACAGGCCCCTAAAGCTTAATGTTCCAAATTCTACGATAATCCTAGCAAGTCTATTCATAGAACAAAATAAATTTTACCTGTACGAGCAAGTTCCTCCACATGACATTTGTTATAAGAGATTCCCTACAAGCCAAATATAAGTCCACTGTAAAAACTTTGCATTCATTTAGCCTACAAATACTTCCAAGATTACAGAGTAAATCTGACCATCACAAATCCAATTAAGCTTTCAACTTCTGTTTTTAAAAAAAAAAAATCAAAATCATATGCAAGAACACAAATAGAGAGGTTGGGCAGACTTTAAGAGTGAATGTGGAGATTGTAAAGGCACTTGAAAGGTAAATAAAAGAGAAAAGGGTGCATGCAAACTTTATGATAATCTATTACCGCTCATTTTCATGCTTTGGAAGGAAAATAATAGAAAGAAAAATGTGTAAAGCTTCATGGAAACACAGTTGTTTTCTTGGGAATACTTGTTTTGAACATAATCTACGACTTTTCTCTCCTCAATTTTCACCTGTACAAGAAACATGAAATAAGACTGGGTTGTTCCCTAGGCTTCCTTGAAACAAATGAATTCCCAAGGGAATGTATTCATTAGATGTACAAAAAGGACCGCACAGCTGTTTGAGGCTAATGTATTAGCCATGTCACCTTGTATGTTTTCATTTTAGCGCCAGAGTCACATAACTCTAAAACTAAGATATATATATATATATATATATATATATAGCACATTCAGAAAGCCGATCCAAACCTTCTGCCGACTGGTGATCTGTGCATAAGATGGTCCGTTGGCGGTTCAGTTGCCAATGCAAGGGCCCCAAGTGTGTCCATGATAAGATTGACCCACAAAAGCTGTGCAAATAGCAGCTATATCAGTAACCAATATGATTGTGCCCTCATTGCTATGTTATTGATTAGCCTATAACAAGTTAAAGAT